TGATAATTATTTAGATTCTGCTGTTCCAAATTTGACTATTTCTATAAAAATACTTATAATTCCTGTTCAGAACTTAAAGATCATCAAAACTTATTTGAGACCAACGATATTTCAAGAAAGACTTGTTGGTTTATCAATATATTGATCATAAGTAAGATATAGAAAAATATTAATTTAAAATTTTTTTCCGTATCGGGGCGCCAAAATCCTAGAGCCGCCAGGAGCGGTAAACCGGCGATTTAGTTATGTTAGTTAAAGGCTTATCTCACTCAAAACAAGTTAATTTTCACTCTACCAGTAAAGTGTTTGGTACGTTACATAATTAGGGACTCTCTGTTTTATTTCTTTTGAACAAAAATTTTGGTAAAAAAGCACTATTTTGTTTCCCAAGTGATTTTCAAGCTTATTTCAACCAAGCAAGATTAAATAATAAATTAATTAAATAAGTGATTCTTGTGCTGGAGACGATTCATTTCGTTTCGTTTCTAGAAAGATTTACATTTACTGTTTCATGGAAAGGAAAGTAAGCATACGTAATTAAATTTTAAGACTTAATTTATAGAAATTCTGCTCATTTAAAGCTGACTTATTTCAGGAATCTTTCTAATTTTTGCATATACAATATTTATCCTTACCAGTAACTCTTCACTGTCCCGAATTTCTTTAAAGTGAGTCTCTCCAAAAGTAAAAATCTACCACAGATTTGTTTTCATAGCAGTTTCGTAATCGCAACGAAATCACACTTGGAGACAATAAACGAAGGAACAGTAGAAGAACGTTAATGTGCAACACGATAGGTTTCCAACTTGCACAAAAGTTTTAAACGAAAACGTTTGAACCAACAACAACTTAAGTGATGCGAAGGTGTCACTTTAGGCTGACCAAAAAATTCATAATGACGCACATTGCAAAAAACATGTGCCATAACTTATATTTTGAAGCCTTTCTACGTTTAAACTTAATAAAGATTACAAATGACAATGACCTGCAGAGTATGAGGCAAAGCATGAAGATAATTAGAGAGAAAAATACAATAAAAATAAATACAGAAAATGTAGGAAATTAGATTACCAGTATGAACCTCCGCGCTAGAATCTAGATGGTAGTAGTAAGCGAGGAAGGCCAAGAAAGAGTTAGTGCTGTCGAGTTAAGGAAGCAATGGAGTATCAATACACACAATACATACTTATTTGAATGAAATATTTGCGTATATTTTGAAAACTGCAAAAATGGCCTTAAACACAAACAAAGCTTTTGACACACCTTACCAACAAATGTCATTAAATCTTCTGTTTAACCATTTTTTTAATTTTTTATAGTTACTGAGATTGCTACACACGCGTCATAACTTGTAGTCTGTGCTTTCATTTCTTGTATATACGCTAAATGGGGGAAAATAGCCCGACAATTCCGTACTAAATTTCGCTGGCCACTAGGTCAGTGATGGCACCCTCGGTCCGGATTATCCCCTTTGCTTTTCCAGAGCATTCAGCTGGTCGAGTGAAAAAGGGACGTCGTTCGGCACTAGAAAGCATGGGGGCCCTAATTTTGGTTAAACGTTATAGTTTTAATTTTCTCCCAGTTATTTATATCTACCTCCAAAAGCCAGATTAAAAAAATATTATTTTGATAATTTACTTCTTTAAACAGAAGTAGTTTCTTTTGCGTAATTAAAAATGTTAATAATTAATTACTAAACTGTAATTTACAGAAAATAGAAAGCTATAAATTAAACAGTTAGAAAATAATAGGGTGGAGCGGCTTCAACAAACGTGAATTTCAATGAACATCTTGCTCTTCTTTCATATCACTCTTCATATTCACTCTTTACTCAGAATATTTTTTTTTCTTTGTATTTCAGGCAATATTTTAAGTGTAATAACTGATTATGGATGCAATCATGCAGGGCATTTAATCAAGATTTTTTTAAATTAAGACTCAGTGCTAGGTAAAGCTTACCTCCATTTGTAAAAACATTTTTAGGACGCGCTGTATTTCGTAAGATAAAATATATACACACTATTGCTATTTTCATTAATAAAACATCAGAAAAAGTGACGCAACTTTTGCTATTTTGCATTGCGTTGCGTTTTGTAGCAAGACGGTAACATTTTAACATCTCATTTTTAATAATTAAAAAATAAAATGGAAAATTTAATGTTATCAAATTGAAGGTATGTGGAGACGCTTCATAATATAGTCAAAACTATAGATTGACAATTGACTTATTTATATTTTATTAAATTAAATATTAATAATTAATGTTCGCTGCATGTGTCTACAACATGTAAAAAATAGTCGATTCGCTTATCTACATGTAAATATTTTTACGTCTTCTAAATGCCTAAACCGAAAAAAATAATCTTGAGGTTTAGCCAAAATTTCCGGTTCAGCGTGTCACGCAAAAAAGGGCTCCATCCATGCAAACGTCTGGATAAATAAAGGCGCCCCTTCTATCTGTTGCTGGCAAGACTTGGAACTGGAGTTATCGCGATGAGGCAGTCGAGCCAAATGTTGTCGATTTCCTGTGATTTATAGGTAGTGAAATACGTTCCAATAAGCATACGCGAGTGCTCTGTATACTTACCTATATTATAGGTACTAACAGGTGCAATAACTTTTACCGTAACGGAGATAGTAACAAAATCTTTTGTTTTACAGCAATTTTGATTCATCATATAGGCAGATAGGCAAAATGCAGAATAAGAATTCCGAATTGTTTTAAATCCTAAATTATTATATCCACAAGAGACCTCAGTGAACTTTAAATATGGGTAATTGTTATATATGTATGCAATAGTTGTGACTATAAATGACAATAATATTTCATTAGGGTCCACTGTGCCGTCTTGGGTAAGTGTAGGCGATATTTGTTCAGAAATTGACGCGAGACTACGGCAATCAGATGTGTCCATTAGAAGACAAATTGCTGTAAATCACGGTAGAATGTCAAGTTTACCTGTTATAATAGGTATGTTAAATATTCATATATTTGCAAAAAAAGACGTTTTGAGTAGCTTACATTTTGTTAGTTGAGCTGTTGATACAGATCAGACGAAATAAACTTTTAATGAAAACTGACAAAGCTTGTCAATGTCATTTTTATTGGCTTTTTTTTACAAAGGTTGGCCAAACAGCGAGACTGAAAATCCCACATATGCAGATTTTTTTGACATATTACAGTGAAATATACCATATAAGAATCGAGGCATGGTGGAACCCTCCAGATACAATTCTATTAAATTTAAAGGGAGACTTCCGTTACCACAAAGTTTGATCTTATTTAAGGGCATATGCGATACAGGCAAATGGTAAGGTCGTACAAGAGTGCCGTTAAAGTATCTGCATAAATCGAATTCCCTGTATACGCCGTCTAGAAGGGTGGTGGATTTCATCTCATTCATAATATTTAGTTTTATATACTCATGTTTTCTTTACTTTATTGCCTTTATAGTCTCCAACACAACTAATTAGAATTAACTTTCACATATGATAAAAGTGAGTGATACAAAACTTATTAAATCATCAAGCAGACGATAATCAGGTTATGAGTGAAGATTATTGTGAGAGATATTCTTAATATCAAACAATGCTGATTAAAAATGGACATTTAGGATTTTTCCATATACTTACTCATGGCAGGAATATTAATTAGGTGCAGTATTACTAAGAAAATTAAAAGCAATAACTTAAACTTGTACTAAGCAAAGCCGTGGTGAAGAGAAACTTTTTTAAGTGGTTATACTATATATAAATGCAATTTTTTTCCAATTTAACCATGAAATGTTTTATATCCAAATATATCTACGTCGCTATATACACATTCGGCAAATAAGAAATAAGTAAATGCTATATTATTTCAGGAATACGGGAACAATCAATTTGGTTAAAGACATGGTTAATACAATTTTCAATGATATCTATAACATTCGCTTCAAACATGGGCCAATTTATCAAATTTACTTAATTTGGCAAAATCCAGAAAATTTAACCACTGTGTTAAATAAATAATAAAGAAAGAAAGAAATAAGTAAATAATATGAAACAGCATCATTTTGATTTTTGCCATTTGAAAAATTTTATCGTTTTATTAACATATTTCTCGAAATATAAAATCATTCGTTAAACCACTTTCTACCATAAATGTGTAGGTCTCATATGTAGGAATAGATAAAGAAATAAAATTGTGGCAAAATCTTTTAGTTTGAAATGAACTAATTTAAATATAAATAATAATTCAAAAATATCTTTAGTTTTGGTTAGCGAAAATTTATGTGTAAAGTTTCGAAAAATGTTTTGCGGCGTGCAAAAAATCCTGGCAAAACGAGAAAAAAAATGCATCAATCAAATTAATACGTGATTGTTACGAGCCATTACGGAAAAAAATGTGCATCACATATCGGCGCTTTCAGCTCGTGCAACCCTTACACGGGTGGCTAGGTATATAGTGAAGCCAAACACAAAAGGCGCACTTCCTCGTGCACAAGAATAATAAACTTTAATTAATATTCCAGAAAACAGAAACAGCATTCGGACGGAAAATAGTAAAAAAGCGTCGAGAAACACCCGCGCGTCTACAGACTAAACCTCCGCTCCCCGGCGCAAATTAAGAAAAACAAAACGTCGGGCGCGCAGCGCAATCGAAACAGAAAACAAAACCAAAAACGACGAAAAAAACAGCGAAAAACTCCTCCCGCTCTAACCCCCCCACGGTCCTTACCGTGTATCGATTGCGTACAGAAAGCGGTGACATTCTTTATCAATACGTCACAGCTCATATTTCAAGTTCTCTCCACCACCCCATACAAAGAAACTGGCAACTTCTTTCGGTAGCCGGTGGGCGGATCGCTAAAGACGAGAGCGGTGGGGAGCGAATCGCGCGTCGCTTTACGGGTCCGCGGGCCAATGGGACACGCCCCTCGCCCTGGTGGGCGTCGCCGAGAAGTCGGCGGAGTTTTTCCGAATGTTTTTATTTATTACAATTGTAGTCGACCGGCGGTGCAGGTTGCGTTCAGTGCGCAGGCATCGGAGGCTGTTTCTCACCCCGCCTCGCGCGTTGAATTTCGATAGACAGACAAACAAACGTCGTGGGTGATAGCCCCCATTCTCCGATTGTCGGTACGTTTCTGCAGATGGACTTTGTATTTCATTCCGCGTTGTGAATATTGTGTATAGGGTCGTACTGCGCGGATAGCTTTCGCGTATCGCGTGAACGATTGTGGCGATTTCCGATGATGATGATGGACAGTACCGGTGTGGATTCTGCGAGTGAGCATAGTAGCCACGCTTCTTCGGGTTCGCCAGCGGTCGCAGTTAAACCGTCGCCGTCGCCTCCCAGCAACAATAATATTCCGACTAGTCATTCTCATCAGGTGCACAGCCCCAGGCAAGCATCCCCTTTGGGACCGCCGATGTCGATGGCACATCCCTTAAGTCCTCCGCCAGTTTCGAGCGCATCTCTGGCTAGGAGTATGGCTTTGGGGCACCTGCCGCCCCCAGGTTTAGGCTTGCTGAACTCTTTGGGGGTTTTGCATAGTCCATTGGACTTGATGGCCCACCACGCTCCTCCGCGTTCTTATAATTCGCCACCGCCGATATCAACGTCCGATCCCACAGCTAACGAGTGCAAATTAGTGGACTATCGCGGTCAAAAGGTTGCCGCTTTCATCATAGCGGGCGACACGATGCTCTGCCTTCCGCAGGCTTTCGAGTTGTTCTTGAAACACTTGGTCGGCGGCCTGCACACGGTTTATACCAAACTGAAAAGGCTCGATATCGTTCCCTTGGTCTGCAACGTCGAGCAAGTTCGAATCCTCCGAGGGTTGGGCGCCATACAGCCCGGCGTCAACAGATGCAAACTGCTCTCATGTAAAGACTTCGACACATTGTACAAAGACTGTACTACAGCCAGGTACGTGTCTGATATTAACTGTCTTCATGTAACTTCTAAATCGCTGCACCTAAGTTATAGATTGCATAAAGGAAACCCTGCATTAGTATCGTTAACGGTGTATATTCATAGTTGTGAAAGTAAAATATTTTCATGGGGTTGCTTTGTAATGCACCTAACAACGTCTAGAACCAACAAAATAATTGGTTCGACAAACAAACCGTTTTAGCAAATGGTAATTGCGAATAAAAATTACCTAGGTACGTAAAGCTATTAGTTAATGTCTCGACCTTCTGTGATATATTTCTGGAAGTGGACAATTACTTATTTATAATATACACCTAAATATTTCCTATAAATGTTCTAAAATATAGCAAATAAAACTAAACTCATTCTGCACGTAAAAATAGGTTTTGTCTAAAATTGTATTTAATGAGGAAAAAACAAATTAAAAACAAATGAACTATTTTATTTTACGCAAAGTTAGTACATTTTTTCCATTACTACTGAAATTGCCTAAGTTATTTTATGCTAAACATTTTCTTTGTAATTTGAACACCTAAGTTTTAATCATCAAATTTTTAGTTTTATAAACTGAAATGCTTCAGATTAATATTTGTTTGATAAATTGGGAATTTTTAGTGCAACACATGCTAAGGGCCACTTAATTAATTAAATTGGTGCTTAATTCAACGCACTTGGTAATTGAGTATAAAAGTCGATTGTCAGAAGCTCCCAATTATCAATTTAATCGAAAAGTGTAGTCGTTTAGTTAGTTTATAGTTGACTAGGGTTAGAGAATTTGTTTTTGATATTTCATCTTCGGACCTACAGGACACATTGCCAGTTGCAGATTTATGTCACTTATTGTTTTAATATCACATATTTGATTCCAAGAGAGACATTTGTTTCTAATCTGTAATTATTTACAGATAATACCGATGACAACACATACATACACATACACGCAGTAATAAAAAAATAGAGTTTATGTTTTGGGACAAAATTATCCTGTTTTGTATAATATATAAGACTCCAATTTCTCCTTACTTTTTCTATTACATCTTCAATCATCAAGCCAAGGTAGCTAAATTCCTACATGTAACATTCCAATAACAAATCATTCCAGTTAACATCAGCGTTCATGTAAACATCTTTGAATATGAAATATAATCCTTTACTTCTATATATCTTGAGATATCTCTACTAAAAATTAAGAGGCTGCATAAGGTACTTTACCTTTACGAATATTCTCATTTGTACTTTTTTCATTTTTATGGCCACATATTTGTAACTGAAACAACGGTAATGACTGATGTGAAACCTGAACTTTTGCGAAATAACAGAAAGAAAAGTTTTGAGAACACAGACCAGTACCGAATCAGAACTAAGAAAGAAATGTAAATAACCGAAAAATTCCCTTTAGATGAAGTGTCCCTCGAATGGTTAATATAACAGCGGACCGTAGAAACCGTCCTATGCGTTGCTGTGCATGGAAGGAATGAAATAATCTGGGGACAAACCCTAAAAGATTTGTTTTACTAAAAAAGTTTCTTTGTGTTTGAAGTTGGGTAAATAAATAACTCCCCATTCAGTCGCCGCTGAAACCCCGCACGTTGCCCGCCTGTTAATTCAAATAATTTAAATTCCCAACCCTCTCTCGCCGCCTGCAACTTATTATTGCACAAGTATGCAGTGGACCCACGACGTATATACACACAATCCTGCAGCATCGTATATATGCGTTCATATCCTCCCCGCATAGTTGGAAATAATTATAAACGACTCCTCAAAATAAAAGGGGGAGAGTTTCGAGTGGCTATATCAGCCCCCTCGGGTGCCCGTTCTACATATCTATCTTCGCAGCCTGTTGGATTTGTTTTATTATCAAAGACCTCAGTTAATAAAATGCTCTCTTTATGTGTATGGGCCGATTATACTATTTCGATTCGTATTGCGATGCTGATTTCGTCGAGTGGTTTGGAGATAAGGCACGTGTTTTATTAAAAGTTTTTCGGATTATACGACGGGGGTTTGTATATTCGGGACAAATATTAATTGTTGATTTTCTGTATTAATTTATTCCGTTACAAATAACGGTTTTCGCCGATAGGCATGGCGGCGCTCTATGTCGACACCGATAAGTTATAATGCATGAATGGGGATCCCGGTAAAGCAAGAGTTGCGTCATTTGAAATCTTACAATTTTGATGGAGTTATCCAGGAAAACAAATTTTGGCCAGGTTTGCTTGTAAATTATTTCCAAAATGCAGCTGTTTGAAAGTCAGATACTTCAAAGGATTTGCCAGTCAGAAGAATAGTATTATCTTAAATTGATTCGTCACAAACCACAGCAAAGATTTCAATTGGGATAAAATGACATACGAATTATTTTTGTCAGATTTAGAAGTGGACCGATAACCACCAAACTTCCCAGCCAAAGATCATAGCATATTGTTGAAGAGGTTCATAATACAGACGTGAACGTGAATTCTTGCATAATTTAAATTTGAGTTTCGATGATGGATGAAACAGGTGCCGTTGTGTGATTCCTTCTCAACCTCGTCAAGATTGGTTCGCAAAACCTGTTTTTAGATGATAATAAACACTAAAGTCAGTACCACTCATAAAAAAGTGTCTCAGTTGTAGCGGTCGGTCCAATAAACTTTTTCTATTGCTTTTGTGATTCAAATATCTAAAAATAGGGGTAATGAGAGATATTATATTATATTATTATATCTTACTACCTAAAATTACCGAAAAGATTGCGTTCTAAAAGAGAGAAGATGCCAGGATATTTAGTTCTATCTTCCCTTGATACAGAATATTGCGGTATTAAGGAAATTTAAAAAAGGTGATTATGGCGCCTAGCCGAAAGCGCCAGACTTGTTGTATACATGTAACCGCTTTGTTTAACAACCTCATAAAAATGTCTGCGACGGACTGTGTGATTGTAGATTTTATTAAAGTTTATTTTCTGTGAAACGGTAAACTTCAGGCAGACCTTTCAGACAAATATGGGTCGCTCAGAGCGTATAGAGCGAAATGTAGATACATCGCAACAATAGCTTACTTAGTACATTACAATTTAACTTTGTTTTAATGGTAGAACTGGGTAGCGGTTAGAAGCGATTATAAAGGCATTATCTTTGGTGTATTTGTTTAAAAAGACTGTAATGGCAGTCGAAGGATATGAGGATTATTCTCTGGTTACTAGTCATCGGTCAGGTAGGTAGATTGATTTTCTTCATCAAATACAACAAACAATTTCCTTACTTGTCTAGATAGATATTGGATTTTGTGTACTTTGTATTTATTCTTCTGCTTTCGACATGCAATTATATAAAATTATTTCGAAAAAAGCATAAATTAGGTTTTGGGCAGATGAAATGCTTAATTTCGCAGAAGTCATTCTTTTTTAAATAGATTGGTTGGTGGGAGGCAAAGACTTTGGGTTATGTAAGTAATTATACGGTAAACGATTAGTGAGCGAAAGTTTAAAGGTTAGTCGACGTCTAAGTATCTACTGAATCGAATTCTGGTCCTGAAATCTGATTCGTTCAGTTCAATACTCGATCAATCGTTGATCGACTTCATATTCTTTCAACGGTCATACACTGCGTAGAATTTTAGAATGGAGCTGTTGCTATCGCTTTGCAAACGCGCTGTCGTTGAAAAGATTCCTAAGAAGTATGGTCAACACAAAGTTTTAGATGACGCATACGAGTCATTTGCGCACACTCATTGCACCAAAAAGTTCGATCCGTTTAAAATAACCCAAGACACTCCAATGAGAACCGGCTTTATCTCAATCTAAAACTACTAATCACCTTCTACCGGTCTCAGCAAGAAATGGAACACAATCGAAACATCAAACACAGTAACAAAATAACATCTTTTCATTATCGACTCGACACAATAGCTGTAAAACCGTTAATATTTGTATTATAAATGATCAGTAGCTGGATCTGAACTGTAGGACGGCGTTCAGAAACGCAGTTGGATATTTCGATGATTCGAAACGGACTCTTTGTAAGTCGGATCGGGCTGCTAATAGGTTCTGTCAGAACGGCTATGTTCGGGGCTCTTTCCGTTGATGATTCGTCATAATTTATCGATATTTAGGCGCCTCTCGGACTGCCCGGACCTTAATTTACAAATCCGAATCCTATATCGAAATGAGAAAATGAGGCTGCCGACGCGATTGACTTTTTAAATTTCGTTTTCCCATTTGGAATGTTTCGAGTGGAAGTTCTTATCCCCTTTTCTCTCAGGATTGAAGTTTGTGCAACGCTATCGCCGCTTTACCTTTTTGTGTGGAGAAATATATTTAAAAATGTCATAAAGAAAAAGGCTCCCGTGTTGGTATATTGATCTGCGTAGTGTTTACTTACACTTTCACTGGGAGATATAAATTTTGTCAAAGCGTTTGCGAAAGGTGTGAGTTAAACTAGCAATATAGAGCTCGTAAAAAAATTCTCTCTCTCCGCTTTTGACTTTTTTACACTGGCGAGCAAAAAATTTAAGTCTCTCAAGAAATTTTAAATAATTCAAAAAAAAAAGTTTATCACCGAATCGTCGGTCTAGTAGGCAGTGAATTACTCGCTTTCCGACGAATGCGGATGGAGATATTTGTTATCTGTCAGTTATTGTCAGCGCATTTTCGACTTTTTTATGAAATAACGGAAGTTTCGGCCTAATTGAAAATTCGTGCGTTAGGTACTTTCCAGTTTATTGTTCATTTGTCTCTATTAAACTTATGAATGTTTGGTGTATTTTTTTGGATCTGAGGTGTATTTGACTGGTCATTATGCCTTTAGATCCTATTGTTATAGCTACAATTGTAGCATTAGTACAAGATGGTCGAGGAAAACTGCAAGAATTGTTAGTAGGAGGCTATGTGTTGTACAAAATGTATAGAAACGCTACGAAGAGTTGATCGATTTTTGATGTCCGCAAGTATGCGGAATAGGACCGCTTCTGCTGTTTGGCTTCGAAATCAACTCCAAGAGGTTAGAAAT